GTGTCTACAGGGTGGTATAATGCGACTAGTAAGACAGCATTATGTTAGTGTTAGGGTGGAGGCACTGCTTGCTTCCTCTCTCTTTCAACCGGCGTGTGGATACGCCCTGGCGCCTACCAAACTGCCCCGCCGCTTTGCAGATTAACCTTGGTATGTAGAAGGCTACGGGAGTAAACCCCGAACGAAAAATCTGCTGCGGAACCCCACATCAGGCAGACATGCTTACAGAGACAAACTAAGAATAGGAATAGGAGGAAGAGGTGTGTAACACGGGAGCCCAACGAGTACACCAACAGATAAAGGCAATGCAAGATGGACAGGCTACCAAGGCGAAACCTAACGAACTGGACTATCGGCAGTCCACTGCAACTCTCCCTCTCCCCAGTCAATTGCAGCTACCTTCACTGGATCAGGAAAAGGTAGAGCCAAGATGCGTGGTTACAGTCTGTCTCCTGCCTCACCACATAAACCAACTCACGTGCAGCCATCATCCAGCCCATCATACTTTCATCATCATCAAAACCCCTAAGCCCCCAAAGTTCTATGGCGATAGACAAGTGGCGACGGGGACAGGCAGTGATGACTGCCGGGAGTCTCTAGTCACAACTCTGCACATGGGCGGCATGGATAAGATGGCCGTTTATTCACTGGGATCTAGGCAACAGTGCATTCGGGTCCTGTCTGTGCGACTGAGCAGCCCTTTCCAGGAGCCACTCTGCTCACTCCAGATGGCATTTGATTGTTTACGTCATTATCCAAGAAAGGCATCGCCGAGATGTCCTTATCACCAGTGCCATGCGTGGCTCAAACCCCTGTGACAGATCATCGGCTCGTCAGAGCCAAGCTCTCCCTTCCCGTCGACCCAAAACGGTGAAGGCAACAAGCCTCTAGAAGAGGTTTTAACACAAAACCTTCCCTGCAGCGTCGCCCTCGGCCAGATCAAAGAAAACACCAGGATTGGTTTGGTGAAAATAACTAAGAAATTAATGTACTCGTCAATGGTAAACGTGTTGCTTTCACTGACTGGAGAACAATCTTTAGTCACGGACCAAAGATGATACCTCACGCCAGAAGAAGGCGGTGGTCCAGCGCAAACTTCACGATCTAAAGGCCGAATGGTGGAAAAGTAAAGCGTGTGAAACGTAAAAAAAAAAAATGCGGATCAACGCAAGATGCGTGAATTTTTCAATTTCACTAAAATAATGTATGGCCCAACTACTCATGGCACGGCTCCTGTCCGTTCATCAGACAGTAATTTCCTATAATTAAAGAGGAAGAAGGCATCAGTCGACGCTGGACACAGCACTACCATACGCTGCTCACGCCCAGGTGGCCCTATGGCCGGTCTATCTTCGAACACGAATGGCAACAATTATTATTATTATAATAATATGTGTGTGTGTGTGTGTGTGTGTGTGTATCAGAATGTTGCTTGTATACTGTACATACATATACATTAGTGTGAAGAAGACTTTAGTATCCCAACAGGTGTTTAAATGTGTATACAGTATATTTGTATGACTCATACACACACAGAACACCTATGTATATCTGTGTGTGTATGAGTCATCCAAATATATTCCTATCACCACAAACTCAATTCCTTCGCTAAAACTAATCTTCACTTCATTAACTTCCGAGAATTTAATCTTTGTTTCATTTCCTTCACTTGTTTCCCAGACTCAATATATCCCTCCTTATCTTCCTTCACATTAATCTGGCATTTAAACAGCGGCCGTATATACCCTGCCTTATCACTTCACCACTGGCCTTATCCTAGTAGACATATATACGTCTCTCTCTATTAGCTCGTGCTTAAATCTGGTGCGGGGTGAATCTTGGTATATACAGTAAGGAATATTCATTATGTGTATACACAGCATTTCTTGCTTGGTACCGTAAGTGTTGGTGTAGTAAAGTCATTGATTGTATATACGTTTGTATATATGACATATATTTCCTGTTTGCTGATCAAATTTTGGAGTTTGAGGGGAAATAATTTGGTATATATTTCTCCGTAAAGACTTTAGGGATATATACTCTATTAGTTATTGAATTCTTGCCTAATTAAAACAATAACCATCTTGGTATATATACATTTCTTCCTATAAACCAATATAGCACCGATCAAGATATATACCGTAGATATGCCTTCCCTGTCAGTTCCTTGATGATAAACTATATCGGGTAGACGGAAGATTGGTATATATTATCGTCACTCAGAACAAAGGCATATATCCCCGCTTGTCAATTAGTCCCTCTCTCATCTGGGCATTGATCAAGGAGGTATATATTCACTCTACATATTAACTCCCGAAAACCATATAGCACTGAATTAAGCATATACATATATCCTCTTGTCGCTTAGTATAGTCCTACGTTCAACCGTGAGGAACTTGGTATATATACTGTTTATATTAGATCCTAGGCCAGTATAGCGCTACACGAGGGATATATACGTATATATTAACCTTACTTTTTTAATGGGTCCTGCCAGTGTGTGACAGTGAACATCCTGGTATATCTGTGTATGGTTGTACGAGTGTTAATCCGAAGATGAATAGTTCAGTGTAACAAGGTGTATAGCCCTTCCCTCCCCCACGTGTCAATTAATTTTGGCCTCAAGTAGTCTAAACTAAGGTGTGTGTGTGTGTGTGTGTGTGTGTGTGTGCACTATCTCGAACATTCTCTCTTGTTGCTTCGTTATCTATCTCTCGTCTCCCCCCACTACCACCATTACCAACCACTACTACTACCACCACCACTCACCACCACCACCATCACCACCACCACCACCATCATCACCACCACCACCATCATCACCACGACATCCGCCAACACCGTTAGTAACTGTCAACTGTGGTTACGATGGTGATAGTTGTGGTGCAGGTCTTGTAACTGGTGGTGGCTGTGGTGGGGAGTGTGGTGGCGGCGGTAGAGACAAGATTTCAATATTGTTTGCCCTTCAGTTCATTCATACAGTTATAATGTTACGCTGGGATTATTTTAAGGTCTCTGTATTTAAAGAAAAAAGGTATTAATCCAAACCTAAACCTAACCTAACCTAACCTAACCTAACCTAACCTAACCTCACCTCACCTAAACCTTGCCTCACGTAACCTAACCTCACCATTTCCAAATAACTCTATGGATCTCACAACCCACTTCCTGAACCTCTAACCAGTCTAGTTCATGTTATCTTCAAACGAGCTATGTTGCCTCAATCTACACTAGCTTTATTACTTGAACTAGCTCTATAATTTAAACTAGCTCTACAAAGTTAAACTAACTCTATAAGTTAAACTATATAACTTAAACTAGCGCTATAAACTTAAACTAGCCCGACAAACTTAAACTAGCTTTATTAACTTAAACAAGTTCTATAATTTAAGCTAGCTCTATTAACTTAAAATAGCTCTATAAACTTAAATTACCTGTATTAATTATACTAGGTCAATAACTTAAACTAGCTCTATTAACTTTAACTGCCTCTTTTAAACTAGCTCTATAACTTAAACTAGCTCTATCACTTTAACGAGCTCTTTATTAAAACGAGCCTAAAATATTATATCACCTGCAGACCCTCATTAGCTCTGGTACACCTGCACATCACGCTCCTGTTCCCTGCTCCATTATGGCAATGTAAATTTAAGGCTTTACCCCCCTCCAAAAAAAAAATATATATATATATATATTTAGTTTCACAATACCGATATAAATTTCTTTCATATCACACACACACACACACACACATACACACACACAAAAGATATCAAGACACACACCAGCATCTCGTTCAACAACTGTGTTATGGCTAGTTTTCATATGTAGTCTCTATTTACTAACATCCCTCTTGTCGAAACTATTGACGTTGGCCAAGCTTTCCTCTGTCACCACGAGAAGCTTTGGCTAACCGAATGTCCCGCCCAGTTTAAGTCTTTATCCTATCGTCGTTATGTTGATGGAACATATTTAATTTTCAGATCACTTGATCACGTTCCTTGATGTTAATATCCACCGTCTTCATAATAGTTTCGAGACAGCCTTATACAGAAAACCAACTTTCACTGGTTTGAGTTCAAAATTTTCATCTTTTATTCCTCTTAATTACAAACGTAATCTAGTACGTACTCTTACCAACAGAGCCTTTAATATATGTTCAAGCTACTTCCACTTGGACACTGAACTAAAATACATAAAGGAACTACTCTTTAACAATGGTTTCCCTAAGAGATTTACAGACACTTGTATTGGCAAAACTCTTAATAGGTTTTTTAGTCCCACACAGCCTCAAATCCACAGTCCCTAAATATTCTAACTATTTCACCATCCCGTACACAGGCCCACTCAGTTTCACCCTTAGAAACAAACTTAAGAAACTTTTCAATGAATTCTTTCCATAAATTTCACTTAGACTAGTCTTCAAAACCCAGAGTTCAATTAGAAAATTCTTTAAAATTAAAGACACCATACCGACACACCTGCAATCCTCAGTTGTTTATCAATTTACGTGTGCTAGCTGTAGGGCAGCATATATAGGTCAAACAAAATGACATTTGATAACTCGCATCCATGAACACTTGGGCCGTTCCGTCCCAACAGGCCAGTTAATCACACAACCGCCACATTCAGCTATCCGTAACCATGCCAACCAACATGACGACCCGTTTTCACCGTCTGATTTCTCAGTTCTTGGCAGGAGCAACTGTGAGACGGACCTCCTCATTGTGGAAGCCTTGCACTAGTATAAAGTAAAGCCATCCATGTGTAATATGGCTTCCTGTGAATATATATATATATATATATATATATATATATATATATATATAAAAATATATATATATATATATATATATATATATATATATATATATATATATATATATATATATATATATATATATATATATAAAAATATATATATATATATAATTAATTAATATCATTACCGCAGAAGGATCATTTATGCTCTATATATATGAGTGGGGACTTACCTGGTATTAAGACGTCATTAGATAGGTGTTGACCGTTGTGTAATCCCAGAAGAAAATAATTCATGAGCAACACCTGTACAGCCACCATCTTGACTCCTCACAGCTGGCTGACACGTCTCACAGCTGGTTGACACGTCTCACAGCTGGCTGACACGTCTTACAGCTGGTTGACACGTCTCACAGCTAGCTGACACGTCTCACAGCTGGCTGACACGTCTTACAGCTGGTTGACGCGTCTCACAGCTGTTTAACACGTCTCACAGCTGGTTGACGCGTCTCACAGCTGGCTGACACGTCTTACAGCTGGTTGACGCGTCTCACAGCTGTTTAACACGTCTTACAGCTGGTTGACGCGTCTCACAGCTGGTTGACACGTCTTACAGCTGGTTGACGCGTCTCACAGCTGTTTAACACGTCTCACAGCTGGTTGACGCGTCTCACAGCTGTTTAACACGTCTCACAGCTGATTGACAAGTCTTATACGAGTTCTTTCTTTCGTTACTCACTTGTCTAAACATAAGAAAATCACTATATTATTCATTATCTTGGACTGTAGTGTCTCACTTAACCAGTTCATAAATATTGGCCAGGTTATCTCGCACGGTGAGCTGTGTAGCTTATAACAACTTCACGACCTTTATATAGCCAACAGTTATTTAGTTTATATACATCTTTTTCATTATTTTTCTATGTAGTCATGAGGTCAATCGTCTATACACAGACATAGGAGTCTCGAAACACACACTTCTATAGCTCAGACTTGTCACACTTCACTCGTAGTTAGATCTGTCTAGACTGTTAACACCAAAAAAAAAAATCACTTTTTTTAGGTTCTTTTAGTTTTCTATAATAAATATAAATACTTTTGTTTGTCGGTCTATATTAAGTTTGTTTATTTTCATGTAAAGTTTATTTTCATTTTCTCAATAATGCTTGTAATCATTGTAGCTTCTCTCATCCAAATATTGGATTTTATATCCATATTATTTTCAAAACCTTAAAAAAAAATATATATAAATTAGTAATCAAGTCAAATATTAAAATCACGTATACTTTTATATATATATATATATATATATATATATATATATATATATATATATATATATATATATATATATATATATATATATATATATATATATATATACTCACAAGAGTATATCACTTTATAATCAACAATACTAGCTCCGTTTTATACAGGTATATGTGTCCATTTTAATTTTGGACTATTTTTTTTTTACGGGCATTAGCCCACCCGGGCACAGGTCACTGACCCACATCAGGGCCTGGGGGACGAAAATGTAATAATAATAATAATAATAATAATAATAATAATAAAAATAATAATAATAATAATAATAATAATAATAATAATAATAATAATAATAATAATAATAATAGACAAAAAACGATGAAAAGTGAGAAACAATATATGTATGTTGTGTTGTCAATAGTAAGAGAAACAATTGAGACCCTGCAATTGTGTGTAAATGAGGCAGAAAATGAGATCAGCAACCTGGGACTTGGTCACAATTTTCGTGATGCCATACAGCAGCAGGGTCTACCATTAGACAACACATTATGCTTCCAATATCTTCCCAGGCGGTAGTACCTCCCTGTTTGGTAGCTGCCTACTTCCTACTACCTGTGTGCGCGTGTGTCTGTGTTCGTGTGTGTGTGTGTGTGTGTGGTTGTGTTTGTGTTATGTGTGTGTGTGTGTGTGTGTGGTTGTGTTATGTGTGTGTGTGTGTGTGTGTGTATATGTGTGTGTGTGTGCCTAAGAATGGAGTATTAGCTATGATAACTTAAAGGTTGGGCCGACCATCCATCACCATCGCCGCCGTCACCATATTTTGAAGGTGTCACAGCGAGCCGGGCACCAAGCCTGAAGCCCTCCTTACGGGTGACGAGCGTGTGTGTTAACTGCACCATCCATCATCCCTCACCACTACTGATCTTTATCGCTCTCTCTCTCTCTCTCTCTCGCTCTCTCTCGCTCTCTCTCTCTCTCTCTCTCTATACCTTACTCCTTCTCTCTATGTTGCTCTCATTCGTAGTTCCAGAACTCTTATCACTACTCTCTGTCTTTCTCTCTTTCTCTTTCTGTCTCTCCCTCCGTCTCCACATCTCTCTGTCTCTGTCTCTGTCCCTGTCTCTGTGTATCTCTCTCCATCACCTGTCAAAATCCAGGTTTATCTTTGTCTTGTTAACATAAGATTGAACAAAGACTAGGTAGAGAGAGGCAGGTGGAGGAAGAGGAAGAACACGACGAAGAATAAGGGGAGGAGGTAGAGAGGAGGAGAATGACGACGAAGAAAAGGGAGAGGAGAAAACGGAGGAGACAGCGACGAATGAGGAGGACACAATAAAAGGAGGAGGAGGAGGGAAAGATGAAGAGGAAACGCTTATGAAAGAACTGCAAGAGGGGGTAAGAGTTTCTTGTGAGAGACAGAGGGGGTGAGAGTTTCTTGTGAGAGAGACAGGGGGGGTGAGGGACTTCTTGTGAGAGACAGGGGGGGGTGAGAGTTTCTTGTGAGAGACAGGGGGGTGAGAGTTTCTTGTGAGACAGAAGGGGGGTGGGGATTTCTTGTGAGAGACGAGGTTCTTGTGAGAGACAGGGGGTGAGAGTTTCTTGAGAGACAGGGGGGTGAGAGTTTGTGAGACCTTGGGGGGTGAGAGTTTCTTGTAGCCTTGAGGAACAGGGGGGGTGAGAGTTTCTTGTGAGAGACAGGGGGTTAGGGAGTTTCTTGTGAGAGAGACTGGGGGGGTGAGAGTTTCTTGTGAGAGACAGAGGGGTGAGAGTTTCTTGTGAGAGAGACAGGAAATTGAGAGTTTCTTGTGAGAGACAGGGGTGAGAGTTTCTTGTGAGACAGGGGGTGAGGTTTAGCAAGACAGGGGGTGAAGTTTCTTGTAGAGACAGAAATTGAGAGTTTGTAGAGACCCAGGGGTGAGAGTTTCTTGTGAGAGACAGGGGGGTGAGAGTTTCTTGAGACAGAGGGGTGAGGAAGTTTCTTGTGAGAGACAGGAGGGTGAGAGATTCTTGTGAGAGACAGAGGGGGTGAGAGTTTCTTGTGAGAGACAGAGGGGGTGAGAGTTTCTTGTGAGAGACAGGGGGGGTGAGAGTTTCTTGTGTGAGACAGGAGGGTGAGAGTTTCTTGTGAGAGACAGAAGAATTGAGAGTTTCTTGTGAGACAGGAGGGTGAGAGATTCTTGTGAGAGAGACAGAGGGGTGAGAGTTTCTTGTGAGAGACAGGAGGGTGAAGATTCTTGTGAGAGACAGAGGGGGTGAGAGTTTCTTGTGAGACAGGGGGGTGAGAGTTTCTTGTGAGAGACAGGAGGGTGAAAGATTCTTGTGAGAGACAGGGGGGTGAGAGTTTCTTGTGAGAGCTTGTTGTGAGAGACAGAAAGGAGTGAGGGGTTCTTCTTTGGTAAGAGATGATTATGAGTGCCTCTCATGACAGATACTTGTGCTGGCCGCGAGCAGCTAGCGTCTTGTGAGACCTCGTGAGAGGTTCTTCGACAAAAGAGGTATTTGTGAGAACTTGTGAGAAAAGCTTTTGTGAGACATTGTTGTAAAGCCTTTCTGCTGTAAATCCTTCTTGTAAGACCTTCTCACTCTTTTAGAACTACCACCTTAAGACGGTGGACCACCAAACAACGTGTTGTAGAAGTACTGAAGGCCAAACGATGAAGAAGAACGCAGGCAGGCAGGTAGGTAGGTAGGTAGGTAGGTAGGTAGGTAGGTAGGTAGGTAGGTAGGTAGGTAGGTAGGTAGGTAGGCAGGCAGACAGGTAAGTAAGTAGGTACCGGTAGGTAGGTAGGCAAGTTCACTACCTCTCTCTCTCTCCTTCACACCCTCACGCAGAAGACGTCAGCTGACCGGAGCTGTTCTGTCCACCGTCTGTAACACAAAAACAAACAAGTGACTTAGACAGTGATTAAACTTCTCTCTCAACAGCTGCCAAAAAAGTTGTCCGCCACCCGGGCCTCAGGAACACCAATGAATAAGTAATTGGTCACTATATATAGTCTGTGACCTAAGTTATGTGTACACTTTGATAGATGAGATCAGATGAAATTTGTGGGAGGGAAGTGGAGGAAGGGTGGGAGGGGGGAGGGATTTGACGTCATTGGTGTTTGTGGGTGATCAAATGGGGGGTTTGTGGGGAGGATTGACTGGCGTTTTGGGCTGTTTTTGTGTCATTGGCTTTTGTGGGTTGTAGTGAACTGAATTTAAATGTTGGCCATAGTGATTGATACACACACATACACACACAGGCGCGCGCTCCTCTGTGTGTGTGTGTGTGTGTGTGTGTGTGTGTGTGTGTGTGTGTGTGTGTGTGTGTGTGTGTGTGTGTACGTGTGTGTGCGTGCGTATGAGAAATATATATATATATATATATATATATATATATATATATATATATATATATATATATATATATATATATATATATATGTGTGTGTGTGAATAATAATAATAATAATAACAATAATAATAATAATAATAATTAACGGTTTATTGAGAGAGAGCATGGCAGCCGGAACACTGAAAATGTACAATTGCATAATTGGGGAATGGGTCTCTTGATTTACAAATGATATACAAATAACATAAGTGGTACAAATATGATATATAATAATTAGGTGTTGATAATTTTTGCAATGGTTGGGACTGGGCTGTTCTTGTAGCAATCAGTTCGTGCTCCTATGGTGATGGGGTGTGTGTGTGTGTGTGTGTGTGTGTGTCTGTATGTGGGTGCGTATGTGTGTGTGTGTGTGTGTGTGTGTCTGTATGTGTGTGTGTGTGTGTGTGCGTGTGTGTGTCTGTGTCTGTATGTGGGTGCATATGTGTGTGTGTGTGTGTGTGTGTGTGTGTGTGTGTGTGTGTGTGTGTGTGTGTGTGTGTGTGTGTCTGTATGTGGGTGCATATGTGTGTGTGTGCCTGTGTAATGGTCAGCATCCTCACCTCGCAAGCAAGCGGACCTCGGGCAGGGTGAAACTGGGCAAGTTTCTTTACGCCATTTGTCTACCCAACAGTAATTGGGGACCTGGATGTTAATCGATTTGCGGATCGTATTCCGGAGTAATTGTTAGCCGGTGCAGTTGGCGAGTTGTCCAGTCTTCTCTGACTATTCCTTGACACTGGGTCATGCAGCTCGTTAACTCAGGGTGTGGTTGTTGTGTTGGCGACAGCTTCTACACCTTAACAAATTCACGACTCGGAGGCCTTTGGGCAGGGCCAGCCTCGATTTCAAGGGGCTTCCATTATTATTATTATTATTATTATAATTATTATTATTATTGTGTGTGTGTGTGTGTGTGTGTGTGTGTGTGTGTGAGTGAATGTGATACTCTTGCTACTATAGAAGGAGTACAGAAGGAGAACACTACCAGCTGTACCGCTCTACTACTGTACAATAGTTGTGGGTGACTTCAATGATATCTCAAGAAGTGATCACAGGCGTTTAATGGGGAGAGAGAGAGAGAGAGAGAGTGTTTATCTTAGCTAGTGATCAGGACGTGTTTGTGGTGTTTGTCAACTTTATCTTATATTAATCAGAAGGTGGCTGAGGTAAGGCAAGGTTCCTCAGTAACCACCACAACCACCGCCACCATCTACAACCACCAACGACACCATCACCACAATCACCACCACCACCACCATCACCATCACCGCCACCACCACGGCCGCCACCGCCACCACAACCACCACCACCACCACCATCACCATCACCGCCACCACCACCATCACCATAACCACCGCAATCACCACCACCGCCACCATCACCACCGCCACCACCGCAACCTTGGCAGCTGTGGCCAAGCCTGTGCCTCCTGTGTGGTTAGCAGGGTTTGGGTTGGCAGGGCAGGGCAGGATGGCAGATGGCAGGATCATTGGAATGGCCAGTGCAGGATCAAAAGGATCCAGGTCGTCATGGCAGGATCAGTCAAGTCAAATTCAGTGCTGGTGGTGGCCTTGGCCATGGGATGGGTCGCCACAACCGCCGCCACCACCACCGCAACCACCACCACCGTCACCACAACCATCATCACCACCACCGTCATCATCATCGCCACCACCGCCGCCACCACCGCCGCCACCACCGCCGCCACCACCACCGCCACCACCACCACCACCACCACCACCACCGTCACCATCATCACCACCACCACCACCACCACCACTACCATCACCACCACCACCACCATAATCACCGCCACCACCACCGTCACCGTCACCCACCACCACCCGCAATCACCCACCACCACCACCGCCGCCAACACCACCACCGCCGACACCACGTCACCACCACCGCCAGAGCCACCGTCAATGATTTGCACTAAGTTAAGGGCGGTGTTAATTATTCACACACACACACACACACACACACACACACACACACACACACACAGTCAATTATTTACAATAAGTTAAGGTTTAATATTCAATTGACGATTTACAAGATATTTACACATTTATATCAATGATTTGATTATACTGTACTTACTATTTACTACTTAAAATACTTTGTCAGTCAGTCAGTCAGTAGATCAGTCAGTCTGTCAAGTTAGTCAGTCGGTCAGTCAGTTAGTCAGGTCAGTTAATGGGTCAGTCAGTCAGTGGATCAGTTACTCAGTCAATAGGTCAGTCAGTCAATGGGCCAGCCTGTCAGTGGACCAGTTAATTAGTAGGTCAGTCAGTCAGTCAGTCAAGTCAGTCAGTGGATCAGTTACTCAGTCAATAGGTCAGTCAGTCAAGTCAATTAGTCAGTCAGTCAGTGGGCCAGCCTGTCAGTGGACCAGTTAGTCAGTAGGTCAGTCTGTCAGTCAAGTCATTCAGTAGGTCAGTCAGTCAGTCAAGTCATCCAGTCAGTCAGTGGGCCAGCCTGTCAGTGGACCAGTTAGTCAGTAGGTCAGTCTGTCAGTCAAGTCATTCAGTAGGTCAGTCAGTCAGTCAAGTCATCCAGTCAGTCAGTGGGCCAGCCTGTCAGTGGACTTGTCAATCAGAAGGTCAGTCAGTCAAGTCAGTCAGTAGGTCAGTCAAGTCAGTCAGTAGGTCAGTCAAGTCAGTCAGTAGGTCAGTCAGTCAGTCAGTCAGTGGAGCAGTCAGTCAGTCAGTCAAGAATGGCGTCTAAGGAGTTGATAATAGTCATTTAACTGGTGATAAACATTTAACTGATTGATGAAGAGATTTTTAAAACTGTATACTAATATTTGTACTGTAATGTGTACCTGTATCTGTACCTTCATTTCTACCAGTATCTGTATTTGTACCTGTACTTGTGTTTGTACCTGTACTTGTGTTTGTACCTGTACTTGTGTTTGTACCTGTACTTGTGTTTGTACCTGTACTTGTGTTTGTACCTGTGTTTGTACCTGTTCTTGTACCTGTACCTGTATTTGTACCTGTATTTGTACCTGTACCTGTATTTGTACCTGTAATTGTATCTGTACCTGTATCTGCTGTATTATATTAAGAGATACAGTGAACTGAGGACGAGTACAGTATATATACAACGCAGGGCTGTATTATAGTGGGGATCCTGGTGGCTGTGAAACAAACTTTATTCTCTCAGGTATTCACAGGTAACTGGATCCCTTTGTTTACATTGTGTCTCTGCCCCTCATGTGTTTATCTTGTCTTATGGTTTGCTCTCTTTATTCCATTTATGCTTCCATGAATTTCTATCTGTCTGTCTGTCTGTTGGTTTGTTTCTCTGTCGTGTGGTTAGTTTTAATGTTTTATGTGTGTGTGTGTGTGTGTTGCTTTCTCTCTAGCTGGTTTATCTCTCATATCTTGTCTCTCATTCATTCTAGTTGCCCTTCTTCTCCTCTCTTACTCTTACTCTGAAACCCTTTGTCTCTCTCTCCCTACCTTCTCTCACTCTTTCTTTCTATCTCTCTCTCATCTTTCTCCCTCCCCCCTCGCTCCTTCCCTCCTCTCTGTTATCCCTTATTCTCTCCCCCCTCCCCTCTCCTTCGTCTTCCGGGTACATCTGGCCGGGTACCCCTCATCCTCCTACACCCAACTACACTTGCTGGCTCTTGTATGCAAATTCACCTAGCTATCTCCTGAAGCCAACGTAAGGAGTAAAAAAAAGATAACATTTCACCTAAACCTAGTGATTGACATTTCACCTAAACCTAGTGATTGACATTTCACCTAAACCTAGTGATTGACATTTCACCTAAACCTAGTGATTGACATTTCACCTAAACCTAGTGATTGACATTTCACCTAAACCTAGTGATTGACATTTCACCTAAACCTAGTGATTGACATTTCACCTAAACCTAGTGATTGACATTTCACCTAAACCTAGTGATTGACATTTCACCTAAACCTAGTGATTGACATTTCACCCAAACCTAGTGATTGACATTTCACCTAAACCTAGTGATTGACATTTCACCTAAACCTAGTGATTACATTTCACCTAAACCTAGTGATTAACATTTCACCTAAACCTAGTGATTAACATTTCACCTAAACCTAAAGATTGACATTTCACCTAAACCTAGTGATTGACATTTCACCTAAACCTAGTGATTGACATTTCACCTAAACCTGTGATTGACATTTCACCTAAACCTAGTGATTGACATTTCACCTAAACCTAGTGATTGACATTTCACCTAAACCTAGTGATTGACATTTCACCTAAACCTAGTGATTGACATTTCACCTAAACCTAGTGATTGACATTTCACCTAAACCTAGTGATTGACATTTCACCTAAACCTAGTGATTGACATTTCACCTAAACCTAGTGATTGACATTTCACCTAAACCTAGTGATTGACATTTCACCTAAACCTAGTGATTGACATTTCACCTAAACCTAGTGTATGTCTGTCAATAGCGGTGAGAGTTTCCCCTTCATGAATCAGTGGAGA